GGCTGCATAACGGGCCGCTCCTTCCGTCTTCCTATTCGTTTATCACACTAAGATAGGAGGCTTATAAAAGAATTCTTAGGGTACTAAAACTTAGAGAGGAAACATTTTATTCTTTTTAGGAGGAAAGGGGCCCTACCTAGATACTAGTACTACCTTAATCTTAGTAGTAATTTACTACTAAATATTATAAAACTATACTACTTTCTATAGAGGTTTTAAAGTTTATATTTTATACTAAAAATATATAAGAATATTTAAAGTTTAATTCTTTACTTTATTTTTTTTATATTAATGTTTAAATCTTTTTATTTATAAATCTTTTTTATATTCTTTAAATTTAAAAAAAAGCTATATATAATAATAATTTATTTTTAATTATTTAATTATTTATTAAAAATCTTTTTATATATTTATTTTAAATTTTTATACTATTTAAATTATATTATAATTAATTAATTATTAATCTTTTAATTATTTTATTATTAAAGAATTTATTAATTATTTTATAAAGTTATATAATTTAGTATTTTATTTAAAAAGAATAATATATTTAATTTTAAATTAATTTATTTAAATTAATTTTTATTTATATACTCTATATGAGAGCTTAGGCCACAGCCCAGCTAGATTGATAGCCTGGTGGCCTGAGGCACGGACCCGATAGGGGGGGGACTCCCCCTTATGTATAGTAGCCACTTCGTCACAACCTCCCTGTCTCTTCCCTCCGTAAGAGATTCAATTTAACCTTATATTGACGCCTACTCGCAGTAGCCGTAGGGCCAGTCCTTAACACTCTATAGTATTTATAATATTTAATTAATAGTTTTAAAATATAATTCTTAAATATATTTTTATAAATAAAAAAGTGAAATTTATTAATACTATAAAAAATAATTTAATTTAATACTATTTTTATAATTATAATAACCTGCTAAGATGTAGGCGGTGCTAAGATCTAGGTGGCCGACGTTAGAGCTTCACCTCTCTAGCTCGGACTCTCTCACAGTCCAGAGGCTCAGATTACGAAACCGCGCTTAAGGCAGAGCAATTTCGCTGATTATACAGGCTTATTGCGAACATCTCAATATCGGGGTTACGCCAGCCCACAATAAAACCGCTGGTAGGACTGCAGATGTCTCAGATCACCCTGCTTATTTCCAGGGCAGAAACAGGACAGTTTTGTTTTTAGTGAACATTGAGCCTGGCCTGTCAAACGCTCATGTTGCGACAGCATCCTCATTGCTGGAGAATCATCCCGATATCGAAGTATATTTCGCGTCTTTTCCCAAGCTCGGCAAGAGACTGGAGAGAATTTCGGCCTTTGCACGCACCAAGACGTCGGAGGCCCAGGATGTGATTTTTCACGAGCTCAAGAGCCAATCTTACGGGGATGCAGTCGCCGCTGTTGGGAAATCTATTCTCAATATCCCTCACCCACCTGGCGCCGCTGGCATCTCGCATTTATGCAGAGACATGCAGATTTGGATATCGACTTGGACTGTCGAGGATACATGGCAGCCTATGAAGAGCTGACTAGTATCATTCATAAGGTCAACCCAGCTGTCGTAGTCCTGGACACATTGTTCCGTCCAGCAATTGGCACGACGCGTGATAACAATCGACACCATGCCATCATCACGCTAAACACGGTCATCGACAATTTTCTAGCAGATCAACCGCATGGTAGCATGTTTTGGAAGTATCCAGCGTAGGTGGTGTCCAACAAGATAACAGGTGACGAGGGTCCCAGCTAATCTGAAATTCCGGTTTTTCGTTTCCGGTCCCCTGGCGAGATATCCCCGAAAATATCTATCTCAATATGCGTTTCATCTACAGCATGCTGGTCATGCCGAGCCTCAAAGCGAAAAAGGCCATGCTCAGGGAGAATGGCCTTCTCGACCCTATCAACTTCTATGAAATTTACCGTCAGGATGTTCCTTGGATAACCTTGACGACAGAAGGCGCAACTATTCCTGTCGATTTCATCCCGCCGAATGTTACCTGCGCTGGACCGATGGTACTGTCAGCTGCGCCAGCCATCGAGCAAGATCCTCATATGGTTGACTGGGTGACGAAATGCCCAACCATGCTAATCAACCTCAGAAGCAGCGTCATAGTGAGTCAATATCAACTAGTTCTGGAGTTCCTCAGATAATTTTGCCTCAGTGGGCCAATTTATATGGCTTCGCTGCACTTGCAGAGACAATCGGTGTTGGTGTTTGGGCTTGCCGTCAAACGAATCCAGGCTGGACAGTTGACAGTCTTACGCAAATAACCCTCAAGCTAGTAGACGGTAGTGAGGCGAGCATCTCTATGCGAGAGACTGCAAGACAGCTAGGTGCAACGGTTCGAAGCCGGGGCAAAGGGCGTGATATCGCGGCGCACGTTGTGGCAATATGGCATATTCTAGAAAGTGATTAGCTTTTTGGCGAATGTACCCTATAGACGATTATAGCAGGAAGGATAAAAGATAGATGATGAAGAAAGGAAAGTCACGTTGTCTAGGAAAGCCGGAAATGAGGTTATCATGCGTCTCAAGATGACCCCAAAATGTGACACCTAGATGGAGACTTCAAACCTAGATCGTCCTCAACAACATAGATCGTACTCAACAACCTAGATCGTCCTCGACAACGTAGATCGTCGGCTTTCAATGGCATCATCGATCCGAGGGTATCCGGATCAGCCGGATCCCTAGGGATAAATTGCTCGACGACGAGTTCACCAAGGTTGCCCAGCCTTGAAAGTGTACGTGCTTCCATGAGTGAAGAATCTTGGTGTATCCTCCAGGGCTAGGCATCTTTGCTATAGATTTGAAGACACTTGCCCTACTACCTACTGTACTAATTGCGTCTATTGATATTTTGAAATGCTAAATTTTATGCCTCAACAAGGACAGATTCTTTGACTTTAAATGGATGTTTGGATGCTCTAGGCCCTACACTTCGCACCCTCTTAGCAGCATCCTCCCTTGATGCCACTGGTGTTCTCAGTGATATTCTCGCCGATTCCCACATTCGACCCAGCATTCACACGCTCATTAGGCCCAGCAATCAGGATCTTGATCACTTGACCCTCCTTGACCTTCTTAAACGCGTCCTCTGCCTGCGTGAAACCCACGACACCCGTGATAAGTTTCTTAACATCTACGCTACCATTGGCCACCAGCTCAATAGCAAGTTGATAATCTCCAGGACCATATCTGAAGCTGCCTCGCACCGTAACCTCCTTCTGGCACAAGGCCATAATAGGAAAAGTAATATCTGCCTTGCCCATGCCACCCTGAACGTAGGTGCCTCCCATCTTTACAACATGCAAACTCGTTTGGATGCATGGTTCCGCCCCGCTGGCGTCAATGACAACGTCTGCACCCTTGCCAAGGTTGCACTGCTCGAGTAGCGCGTTCGCGTTCTCTTCTGGCGAAATGCGCTGGAAGGGGTATGTGTGTGTGGCGGCTAGCTCTGTGGCGAAATCGAGCTTTGACTGGATGATATCAACACTGACGACCTTGACAGCGCCAAAGGACCTGGCGACTGCTGCGCAGAGAAGACCGACTGGGCCGGCTCCCATGACCACAACAGTCGCGCCGGGTCTAACTCTTGCTTGCTGAACGATATGTACCGCAACCGCAAGAGGCTCAATTAATGCACCCTCTTGGAGGGAAACATTGGTAGGCAGCTTATAGCAGAAGTCGGACGGCGCAACCCAAAAGCCTGTAAGAGTGCCATCGTAGGGAGGGGTAGCCGCGAACACCATATCTGGGCAGAGGTTATATCGGCCAGCCAAACAGTCGTTACACCGCCGGCAGGGATAGCCGGGTTCGAGAGCGACCCTATCACCGGGTGCAAGCGTCTTGACGGCGCTGCCGACCTCGACGACAGTGCCGGCGGATTCGTGACCTAGGACCATAGGCTCTTCGACCACGAAGTGGCCAATCCTGCCATGTTCCCAGTAGTGTACATCAGAGCCGCAGATACCCGTGTAATTGACGGCTACCAGGACATGGTGGGCTGCGGAGATCTTCGGTATAGGTCGTTCGGCGAACTGAACGTCATGGGGTTTATTCAGGATGAACGAGAGGTTCTGTAGGGTTGGATATTAGTATTAGTCATGCTGCCAAGGTCTGATTCAGGAGTGGGCAGCTAACACTATTCGTCTTTGTTGATGAACTGGTGTTCTGCTCAGGAACTAGCTCCTGAACTATAGATCCTGGGGCCATAGTCTGGATACTATATGGGGAATGCGAACTGGCGGGATGATGGGATTTGACGGATTGTTTGGAAGGAAGTCGAAGGGGGGGCAGATATCGCGTGGAAGCATAGACCGACAGAATCTAGGGTGGGATTCACCGGCTCTGGACGACGAAGATGAGCGAGGTTAAATAATTTTGAATGCGTAGTCCGGCGGCCAACCTATACGTATTAACGAAATTCGTGCGTCCTCATCGCGTATTTAGCTATTTCCTTGCCGTCCTACCTTCTACCCGGCGGGTGGATTAGCTGCTCTATACTGCTAGCCCATTTATTATGGGGGGCATCTCTCCTCAGAGTCCGGAGCTAATAAGAATAATTGGCCTAGCCCTGAGCTGAAACGGTTGTTGTGGCGAACCTATGTATGTAGGCTTTCTCCGGCGGCTAAGAAAGGGTGGAGAGGATAACGGACCGGGTCACGGGACCATTGCGACTTGACAATTTCCATTGCCGCAGATTTTCAACACAGTGGACGTACGCAAGGTAGAGAGGGGCCTTGATCAGTCAGTAGGGAGGCACCATCATCACCATCATCGTCGTCATCGAACTGTCGTCGCCATTAACCTCCCCCAAGCTTTCTTTCGGATATCGTATTCAGGGTAGACGGAGCTATCAACAATGTCTGCGCTTAGTGGGAACGGAACGTTGGAGTTGGATTCTGTTCCATCCACGGCCCGCCGGATGCCTACAAGGGTCTCCAATGCTTGCCGCAGATGCCGTCGGAACAAAAGTCGAGTAAGTCTTCCCGGTGTGCCACAATAGCCGCTGACCCAGAGTGTGCAGTGCGATTCTTATCGGCCATGCTCTCTCTGTTCTCGTGCCAATGTGCCTTGTGAGCCGGCACCGGTTGATGAGCCTCCCAGAAGCAAGGGTAGGAGTTGCAATCGGCGCGTTGGGGCAATTACGCGAAAGTGAGTAGTTCTACTTGAAGCTGATGATCTTGCATGGTAACGGGTCAACGCGTCTGTTGAAGACGAGTTCAGTCCAGAGGCACCAGCGACTATAGCCCCTCCACAACCGTGCCGCCCACGCGGCAACCTTCGCTTCCTTCGGAGCACGATGTGGTTGACAGCGTTGGGGGACGTCCTGCAGGCACAAAGACTCCGGTGCCAGCGGATCGACGCGGCTCATGGGTTCCTGTAGACTATGGAGAGTCAGAGTCCGCCATGGGCATCGCGCGCAAGGTTAGAACACTGCTCCCACTACTTTCTCGATAAACACTTGCAAACATTACGACAGATATACAGCCTTGGAAGCCAAAGTATTGACGACCACCTAACCTCGGCCATTCCGGACGGAGGATGTGGAATCCGGAACCCTCGGAGAAGGACTGGCGATGAGCGCCTGCCAATATCTGCGATGCTTGGCAGCAGGTTCCCTGATCAACAAGCGATTCACTCGCTTTTGGAGGATTACTTTGACTCCGTCCACTGGTTTTCGCTGGTTATATACGAACCAAAATTCCGGCAGCGCCTGTTGTCAATCAAGGACGGCTACGCGTACCCTGCCGAGGCGCCGTTTCTAACCTTGCTGTCGATGATTTTGTGCATGGCAGCTTGGTATCGTTCTAAGAGGGCCGTTCACAATGGTGGTGAAGAATGGCGCCTCTGGAGCGACGACCTGCTGAAGATTGTCGAGTCGCGACTAGTCCAGGTGATGGATCAGCATTCGATTGCAGCGGTGCAGACGTGCATCTTGCTGGGATCTCATCATGTTTACCATGGCCGGCCAAACTTGTCTTTCGCCCTTTTGGGAGCGGCTGTCAAGATGTCTCATGCCATGGGTCTGCATCGTGATTTCACAGGTGGAACGTTCGGCGACATAGAAGAGCGCAAAAGAGTATGGTGGACCATCTATACCTGGGACAGGTATGAATCAGAGCATCTCGTTTCAAGACAATATTCTAACCAGCTAGGTTCGCTTCCATCTCATATGGACGGCCTTTGAGCATCAATGATGAGGATTGCAGTGTGGGAATGCCAACCGAATTCACCGAATCGCCATACTTTACCCAACAGTCGGTCGAACAGGGGCTGCCAGACATTACCTACTCACCGTATCAAACCGGACTGAGTAAACTGTACCTCCTCGCATCCCCCGCCCTAAAGAACATCTTTGGCTCACTGTCGGTGCGGTCAGCCAAACAACATTTCGAGTCCACGTACGCTTCGCTGGTCAGCGAGGTGACGCAAAGGCTGCTTGTTTGGCGCCGTCAGTTGCCGCAGCACCTGTCCCTAGACCTAAACAAAGACCACCACTCAGGGAATACCGAATGGGGCAGTCGGGCATATATCTTACAGTCTCTTTCACTGCAGTTGACCTTCGACAACCTGCTGATAGTGCTTCACCGGCCCTTCTTGGCTCGCCAAGTTGAGAACTTGTCGATGAAGGCCTCAGCCCCATATACGAATGTACCTCAGACTGGATCGCCTTCGCTACAATCGCAGACGTCGCCGCCTACTACCCATACCGACAGCTTTTCGCCCCGTGATCATGCATCATATGGGTGGGAAAAAAACGCGAGCTCGGAGCATTGGTGGAATGCAGCGGTTCGGACCGCGCGTGTGACGGAACTACCCCAACTTGCCCAACTTGCCACAGATAGTCATCTTGTTGCCTTTATGGCCCTGAACCTGTTTCACGCGGTAATAGTGCTCATTTTAGTCGCCCTTTCCGACCCTCTCTCCGATTCAGCCCAGGGTGTCAAACGGACTATTACCAAGGTGTTTAGATTGCAGGAGCTGCTGGGTCAGCGCTCAGCGCTCTCGAGCCAGAGCAGCGTCGTTCTCAAAAATCTCATCGGTCTGCTTCTCCGGCGAGAGGCAGAAGCCATGCTTGGCCCAGTCACGTCGGCACCTGTAGTGGGCTCTCGTGCAGAGCACCAACCCAGGGCTGCGGACGATTCTGGCCACTTGTCAGTTGAAGATACACTTCGGCTTCCCTTAGAGGCTACCCTGAGCACGAAACACCAAGGAACTGAAGACCAAGCCTGGCCGAACAGGGCTCAGCGCCTGAACGAGAGCTTAGCATCCGTACAACGAAGTAAGGATTCTGCCCGTGCTGGAAGTCGATGGCCGCGGAACAAAGCTGACCCCAATCTCCTGCAGTATTTCCGACAATCCAAGATGAACTGCCCCGATCTGATACAACAACGGCTTCGAGACATGATGTGAATATTCAGGACGGCTTGTTGCCACTAACACAACAAGAATTTTGCCAAGTGCCATTTGTACAATCAGATGTCTATGAAGAGCCTCACGCTGTTGAAGATCAGCCACAGATGGTAGATTATGGGGGAAATAGTATCTTCTGGCTCTGGGATTCTAACTGGAGTGGCGATTTTATGCAGTAAGCGGTTGAGCTTTAGTAGAACCGCGGTAGTTACGGAGCAATGAACTTCTCTTGTTTTCTTACACGATCTCGCCTGGTGATGTTACGTCTATGGACAAAATTGCGAGCAACAGGCGCGTCATGCTGCATCAACAGTGTGTTCCTTGTTCCGATCATCAGGGCAATCCCAGTCCTCATCCGGCGGGTCAACGGCAACTCCGTAAATTTACGGTTCCGGCGGCTCAGGGGTCCGGCGGAACGGTAGTCAGTTGGCCACTAATCCCCGTCTTGACTCGCTTCTCTAATAACCCCCGGAGCTGTACAACCAATGGACAAACGGTACTCGACGTGCAACTACTAGTGCAGCCATGGGATTGGCCAATTGATGACGAATTTCCAGACGAATTCTATGCCCTACAGGGTTCCCCGTGGGGGTTGCGGGAGGGTTAGTCGTAGTTCTCTAAATGTCAATGCTTTTCAAGTGTCTGTCTGCCTGCTCCAGGTCTATATAGTCTGGGGCCCCATGTTTCTTTTGATGGGGTGAAACAAGATCAACCTATTCTGTCTTCATTCTCAAGATACCTCGAAAACTTGCAAACTCATCACTTTACTGCGTCCGCTGCAGGTATGGACAAGCCACTGTCGCCGACCCAGACGGAGACAGCCCCGTCCCCTGTAGATGGTGAGAACCTCCCCGTGGCCCCGGTCTCGTGGCTTGAATCCAAGCTCAAGCCAAAGACCATTCACCACCGCTATCCTTTCAGAGGAAAGCCTCTCCTTTGGATGACATGCGCTTTTGGAAGCTTGGGTGATGCCTTGTTCGGTTATGACCAAGGTACGTTGTCCTTCACCTCATACCTGAGCCCTTGCACCTTGCATTCTTATAATGACCCCGAACCTAGGTATCGTTTCCGGACTTCTGGTCAACCCGGTGTTCCTCTCGAGGTTCTTCAGCGACTATGGTGGTGCTGACGGGACCGATGATCACATTAACCCATCCGTAACAGGCATTCTCGTGGCATGTCTTCAGATCTCGGCCGCCATCGGCTCCCTGATTGCAGGTAGTCTCGGCGATATGATTGGCAGGAAAAAGTGCGTTCGTTTAGGCGGCTTCATCTACTTCGCCACCGCCTTTATTCAAGCGTTCGCTCCCGATTTCAAGACTTTCGTTATCGGCCGGACCCTCCAGGGCCTGGGCGTGGGTTTCCTCTCCATGACTGTCCCCGTCATCCAGACTGAGATTGCCGCACCACATCGTCGAGGCCGTATGGTGGGAGTCGAGTACACGTTTCTTATCGGTGGCTACGCGCTCTCAACTTGGGTTGACTTCGGCTTCTACCACCTTATCCCAAAGAGCGAGTCCTGGCAGGGCCCCTACTTCATCCAAATGGGACTGGCCTTCATCCTGTTTGCCATGTCCTTCTTCCTCCCTGAAACGCCTCGCTGGCTCGCCCGCAACGGTTTCACCAAGGAGTGCCTTCAGACAGTCGCGGATCTTCACACTCCGGACGGTGATACGCAGGCCCATCATGTCCAGCAGGTCATGGTGGAGATCAAGGAGGCTGTGCGTTACGAGGCCAGCCTTGGACAATCGACATGGCTCGAGATGTTCACGCGTTATCGCAAGCGCACCCTCGTTGGAATCACGGCACAGATGTTTGCCCAGCTCAACGGAATCAACGTCATCTCCTTCTACCTACCTACGACGCTCGCCAAAGCAGGCCTCAGCGTGCAGAAGTCTCTACTCTACACGGCTGCTAATTCAGTCCCCTACGTCGCCGCTACGATCCTCACCTGGTGGCTGGCCGATAAATGGGGACGACGCCCTCTATTGATCCTCGGTGGTAAGCTTACATGAATTGCTACCCAGCATGCTTGTATCCAAGGGAAATCGCTGACTGAACAACAATGACAGGCATCCTCATGGCTATCGCCCTTTGCGTCGTCTGCGCCTTCACCGAAGCCCACATTTCAGACTCCAACACTCGTGCACACGGCATCTACGCTTTCGTTATGATCTACAACGCCATCTACGGCTTCACCTGGGGCCCTATCCCTTGGTTGCTTCCAGCCGAGATCTTCCCGCTGCGAGCCCGAAGCAAGGGCATGGCGCTGGCTACATGTTCAAACTGGATGTTCAACTTTGTGATTGGCATGTCAGCGCCTGACGCCTTCGCGGGCATTGGGGGTTACTACTATGTAATCATCGCGGGGTTTTGTCTTATTTCAGTCGCACTGGCGTACTTCTTTTACGTCGAGACTGCCAACCATACACTTGAGGAAATCGCACTGGCGTTTGGAGACAAGGCCTTTGCAGCGGATGATGAGACTGTTATAGCGACGGCGCATCTCGGGCGTGAAACTGAGGAGAGAAAGTCGGCGCTGGTTTGAAGGGGAGATACCGTGGTGTATGTGATGATGCGGCCGAGGGTGTAAGGGGTTGGTCCAGCATGGCACCCAAGTTCAGGGTGCATCAAAGTATAGTCGGGGCTAGTTATGTACTATTTTATACACACTCCCTTGTCTCTTTGCGAATAATTAGGTCTAACTTCCTCATCTGTTCCGTTCTAGTTGGAAACAATAGATCTGTTACCCTCACCAGCGTAGGAGATGGCGATATGAACGACGCCTTCCCTGGAGCAATACCTAGATGACACCTCCTGGCATTCCCAGGTTGACATTGATTTGGAAGATTGTAGTCTTGCCAAATGGATTGTCAAGGACCGACCTATCAATCAGCTCTCCCGTTCGACATACCAGTCACTATCCACCAGTCGCGCGTAGAGGGCGATCGTCCAAGCCGCAGACCATACCGTTTTGCAACTGCCGTAATCCATGCGGCGTTTCGGCTTAACGGCTGCTGCACCAGACCCGCTGATGAGCGAATGGATCTGGCCACCTGGGATGAGACCGAGTTGCGCCCAGTTGGAGCCAGCGACAAGTCGTTAGCCAGGGATTCTCCTGGCCGGCGACGCGCGTTTCCCTGTTCGCCATCCTTGCTAGCCTCGAATGTTAAAGCTGTAGGCAAATTGATGGGTGAGGCTGCCTTGGCATGTCGAGTTACGAGTTTTGCGACACAAACATGCATAAGCTGGGTGTAACGGGCAAGCCGCTTGAGCGGCGGCTGTGCCGCCGAGCTTC